GTCACACCAAGCCAAGGTGCAGTCTCGTCATTATGGGACATGATAAAAAGAAAAGTGTGAATTGGATAATATGGTAAGAACGCGTTAAAGGTGGCTAAAATTAATAATTGCTCTTCCGAGGAGTTCTGAGCAAAGGCTTCTTGTTGGAACTCATCATCAAGGCTTACTCTCTTAGAATCGTTACTCGAACTGAAACCGCGTTTCTTCAGCTTACGAGCGGGTTCCTAAACCGTGAGCTACGCGATCGACAGTAAACATTCGAGCGCAACATTATTTAAAAAATTAATCAGGAATGTTGCAAAAGAACAAACTCCTAGGGAATAAGACTCATATAAGATTGGAATAACACAAGAACACTTCTAATCGATTTTTTCAATTTTAAAACACGTCTCGCATGAATGGATGATTACAAGTACCGCTAAGTGATAGAACCTACAAAATGCAAATGACCGATCACAAATGCATCAAAAATGTTTCAATTATTGGAATTCGTTTTGCAATGAAGACAACTGTTTATCTTGGATGTGAAATTAAATTTGTTACCATTCTGCGACGAATTCCATGATCTATTCTATGGCTTAAAAGCAGCACTGTTTAGTGTGCGACGATCTCCCGATATCCGAATCAGTTTATGAATAAGAAAGTAAAGTATGTGAAAATGAAATGCACAGGTACAGGCCGAACAAAGTGGTAGTATAGAACTGCTTACCTTCGACGCAGTCCTGAAGATAGTACTCTGTGGAGCAAGCAAACAAGCAATACCGTTGATTGGTTCCTACAACCCAGGATACTTGATCAAATATGATTGAAAAAGCATTGCAAAGTTTGAAAATTCCAAATTGACTGAAACGCGCTTGCGGTCAATCGATATTAAAAAACGCGATAGGGTCGACAGAAGGGGTAGGTAAATGAAAATCCTGTCTCGTGAAATGACTGTTTGTATTCATGAGTAGCAAAACTCTGGTTTATACAGATTTGGTTTAGCATTGTTCTACTCATCACAATATAGAATCAGTTCTCCACTATTATCGTGTAGTTTGCTCTTTACAAAGCCTACTATCATCATAAAAAACTATACTTTGAAATTAACTCTTAAGAACGAAAATTGTACGAATATGAAGCGAAAAGCCAAGATACTTATACAAACATTGTGAACCGTAAAAAACGCCACGTCTTCCGGAATGTAATCTTCTCCTAAACGCACGATCAATAAACTCTTAGAGAAATGACAATTGAATAGACAATCTTCATCGATTCAGCTGAACTGGTCAGGCAAATTTTGTGGTCCAATTATCTCGTCACGTACTGACTACGCATGTTATTCTGTCTAAAATCTGCGTCGGTGCACGTTAAGTCGAATGAACAAAATCTAAAAAGAAGTAATACAGAATTTATTTGATTAATAGATGCATTAGGATGTGTACAAAAAAAGCTAAACCCTAATGACAATGAAATGTGGTGTTCAGCGCATATTCTATTGGATTGACTGAACTTCTTAACATTTAACACGAATAAATTCAAATAGTTTTTTAAACATGCTACTTCCTTTCATACCTTCGTGCAATTTTTCAATGCTCGAGAAGTGATCTTCATCCGAAATGCAGAATATGCTCACACGACCGTCACAACAATCAGACTGATTCTTCCCATGTCCACATTTGGATCGCATAAAATCTATCAACTGACGGGACTGTTCAATAAAAGCCGGCGAATCATACTGAGCCCACGCAATCAGCCAACGGATGGATGCAGGGATCTGGTTTATCATATTCGATTCGGCAAATAGTCGTAATGGGCTAACTTCCCATGCTTGTTCCACACTGTCGAACTTCAGATACTGGTTCATTGAGGTTTGAATGAGTGGACGCAAATCATACACTCCCGAAATGAGGATGAGCGAATGTACTGAGTGAAGCCATTCCTGTTGATCTGTCGGTAGTTGGGTTGCTTTGACGATAGATTCGATAACCATTTGTGCTCCGGCTGAGTGGCCGACCAGATGCATGTGCATGTTTGGTTTGGATTTGATTTTTTCGGCAATTCGTTTTTTCGAATGTTCGAATACAGTCTGAAGTCCTTGACAGATGCGCTGTGGCATAGTTTGTATTGATTGCCATGGTGCTAATCGATAAGCTAATCCGACAAAGATTGCTCCGAAATCGGTTACGGCCGTAGCCCAATGACTAGATTCGGGTAGATCCAATGCTTTCCAGTATCCTCCATGAATGTATACAATTACATGTTGAATTTTGTCTGGAATCCGAAAAGGAGCGAACCAATCAAACGCTTCCGTTCCCTTCTGATCTTTTGTAATTTCACCATAGGGCACAGCCAAGTCAACGCCGTTGTGTAATTTGGCTTGTTGTCGACAGAGATCACTTTGCTCGCGTAATCTCCTAACCCAACGTTTATTTTCTCCTTCAGGTATCTGACCTCTCGTGAGCCACTTTTCTGGATCGTATTGAATGTCCATTTCCATGTCAAAGGTAGGCATTTGTGAGAACTCCTGATCTCCCATTTTGAGGGCCACTGTTTTACTGTTTGACGCAAATTCGCCACGAGCCTTGTTTTTATATGAATTCGCGGGACTGAGAAAGGTGTGGTTTCTGTCATTTTCCACTGTTCCCTCTGTAATAATCACGTGCTGCTGTATGGTATTCAGGATTGTGCTGGTGCTAGCATTAGCCCTCTTGCAGTGTAAAGTTTTCCTCGTAGTTGACGCTGATGCGCTCTCGTGCGCGGTATAGTGATTGTGCTTGTGTGCCAGTTCGGCTTGTTGATTCTTTCTTCAAATGTCAAGTTATGTTTATGTCATACTGTCTGCGTTTGTGTATTTACTCAAAGAGCCGCAAGAATGACGCTGAAATTGAAAATGTGCTTTTCACGCTGGATTCGATTGATCATCACAATTTTGTTTCTGATAATGAAGGTTTTTAGAGTCGATGATTGTCTGTAATGTTCAAGCTCCGAAGTCTGTTGTACAGAACTACAATCAAATGCAAAATGCCAAAGGTAAAGCTCACAAACCCTCGTCATCTCCTTTTTCAGGCCATAAACGTAAACATAATTGCCTGATTGACTAGAAGTGAGATGATCAAAAACTGGACCGTCTGTCACTAATAACATTCAGTGATTGAAACGAAGTCGATTAGTTGGCATGGAAGCAGTTAGTTTTCCGTTTATTTACATTACATGAAACTTTGAGAATGCTGTTCGGCTCTAAAACAGACCTGCATGGAAGTCTAATTCACGGTACACCTTTGTTTCGTTGACAGTTTTCGTCGATCGTACGTACGTCTGTTCTACGCTCTACCGTTCACCTAAATCCTAACTTGGTTGAATATGGACCAGTTATTTTTGAACGATCCCTGTTTTATTTCAAGTGTCTTAAGTGAAATCGTTTTTGCATTAAGAAGTCAAAAGCACAGGTTTGCATAATGCATTCTGGATCATTTCGCTGCATCTATACACGTGCATACTGTAGTCTATGTGGTCAGTAACTAATAGAATCATAGGCGGAGAAAGGCTGCGATTAAAATTATTCACCAAACACATTTATTAC